ACATCCCCACCCTGTGCAGTGTCACGTCCCCAAGCACTGTCCCACCCCTGAGCACTGTCCATCCCTGCCCTGCTGGACTCCCCACTGGCTTAAGGAGCTCGGTTGCTCCCAGGAGCAACCCCAGGATTTGCAAATCCCAGGATCTGCAGCCCAGGAGGGCCCGTGGTGCAGAGCTCTGCATGAGTAAAGCAGCAGCAGCCTCCAGGCTCAGCCCCTGCTGGGCTCTGCCAGGTGTTCCCCCTCCCCAGCCCCACGAGGAGCCAGGAGCTGCCAGGAGATGCTGGCTGTCCCCCAGAGTGTCCCAGCCAGCCCCAGCCCCTGCCCAGCGTGGGGGGGCTGGGAATGGAGCTGGGATGCAGTTTGCTGGGAATGGGGCTGGGATGCAGTTTGCTGGGAAGCACAGAGCATCTCTTGGATCCTCTTCCAGGACCAGGAATAAGACATTTAGCAGCAGAAGGAAAGGCAGCTGAAGTAAGGTGCTTTCCTCTTCTGTAGTCCTGCCACTCTTTTCTCCCACAGCCTGAATTTCTCCCTCACAAATCTGGTTCCAGCTCAATGTCCTTCTCACCTTCCAGCCCACAGGCTCTTTGATACCTTCTCTTTCCTCCCTCCAACTCCCCATAGCTTTAGCAAAGCCTCTCCAGCTCTTCCTCTCCTCTCTAAAACTCTCCATTCGCAGCCTCAGAAATTCCCTTTCTCTATTCCCAGCCTCAGAAATTCCCTTTACCCAAGGTCAGAAACACTTTTGACTCATTTCTGGAGAAGGAGAAAACAGGGGATTCTGCAAGGACAGCTTCAGGCTCTGCATCCCTGAAAGGTGAACAGGAAAAGCTCCAGAGAACAGACCCTGTGCTCCCTCCTTGACCCCTGCAGCCCAAACCAGATTCCCAGGGGCTGCAGCTCCAGCAGGGACCAAAAGCTGCTTGGACACTGCAGCAAACATCAGAAGGCTGGGAATTAGGGCTCAGCCTCCCATTTCCACAAGCCAACCCCTGCTGACACTCAGGGGAGAGCAGAGGCTCAGGCTCACTGCAGAGCCCTGCCAGGCTGAGGAAGGGCAGGGCCAGGGAAGGGCTCTGCAGGTTTGTGCCCAAAAGGGGCTCTGGAGATTCCTGCCTGGTTTGCCTGACTCCAAGACAGGCCTCAAAGCTCTGGTTTTGCACCTCCAAACCAGCCTGTCCAGGGAAGGGCACGGTGCCAGTGTGTGACCCTTTGGGGGACCTGCCTGGGCTGACGGTGGCACAGGAGCCCTGGGGTGCTGAAATGTTCCTTGCCTTTAGGAAACCACAAACTCTGCAGCTCAGCCTGTCCCCAGCAGTGCTGCCAGTGCTGGGCCCTACCTCCAGCACAGCTATTTGTAAGCTGCATTTGCCACAGGAAAATCAAATCTCCTTTAGAAGGCTCTGACTGCAGCTCCCCCTTCTTTCTTTGGGAAATCTGGTGCCCCTGGCTCCGAGGGAATGCTAATGCAGGGGCTGCAGTGGGGAAAATCCAGGTGAGTGATGAGCTCAACGAGATACAATCAGATTTTCCAGGCAAAAAGAAGCAGATGGGGCAGCAAAATGGGGAATTACACCTGCAACACAGAGCAGGCACAGCTGAAAGCTAAAGCCACCTGCCCAGTAAAGGCACGAGCTGCCAGGCACTGGGACCACGCTCTGGGTTCAGAGTCTCCTTCTCCACAGTGCCTTAAAAGCTCACTCCAATTTATCCAGCACTTCTCCTTTAGCAGCAGAAAATAAAGTGGGTCAAAGGCAGCTTTTCAGCAGGAAAATCAATCTAAAATTACAACACTTGGGGGAACCAAGGCAGTGGTGAGAGAGAACATGGAGCACTGCCACCCCTGCACTTCTCCACCCCTGCACCTTCTCCTGGAAGAGGAGATCATGAAGATTTCATAGCCCCTCCTTGCTCCTTGGCAGGACCATTTCTTCCCTTCTTCAGTCACCAGGCACAACAAGAAGCTGCAGTAAAAAGCTCCTCAGCCCCAGTTTTGCTCTTTACCTTGGCTTAGTAACATAAGGAAGGGAGACTCAGCATTGCTGAGGTGAGAAGAAATATATTCTGCAAGCTCAGTCTGGTATCCAAAGAGACTAAGAAGAGCTTTACACAGGAATAAATCCCCCTCTCTGCCCAGGACAGGGGCACTCTGCCATGTCTCTGAGGAGAGATTCCACAGCACAGCATCCATAAGCTTTACTCTTTTTATTTCTCTTGCAGTGGAAATATGTCAGAGCCCAAACATTAAGCCATTTGATTTCCTGTGTTTGGAGCGTCTCACCTGGGCTATTTTGGAGCCTTGATGAGGGGCTCTGCAATCAAAACTTTGTTTTGAGGCTTGCTGTGCTTTCTAAAGGAGACCCCAAGGTACAACAATGGATCCATGGGCAGCCCTGGACTGTTATTCTCTGCTGTAAATCCCTCCCTACACTGCTCCTGTTTTTCTGAGCCAGCGTCAATGTGCTGGTTATGCAAAAACTCATCTCTAACCCACAATGTACAGACAGCCCAAGGCTCTGCCATCCACAGAGGAGAAAGAAGTGGCATTACCACCACAAGAATGTGAAATCTTGTTTGAAAATCCTGCTGGTTTTTCTCGGCTGTACCTCCCAACCTGTCAGACCACTGGAAGCTGACAGGATGTTCAAAGACACTGTGCAGCCACCACAGCTGCACCCTGTGGGTGTCCAGTGTGCTCAGAACAGGCTAAAATACATCACAGACACCTTCACCTGTCTAAACCTAGCTCACTGCTGGGTCTTAAATTTAGTTTTGGAGTTCTTATCCACCTTTCTGACTTAGGGGTGTTCATAACCTTCTCCCTGAGTGCAGCAGCTCCCTGCAGAAATCATTCACCTTTCCCTGCTGGCTCCAAATTTTACTTCTCCTATGCTGCGCTTTCTCTTCCCCCAGAAAAACATTGCTTTATCCATCCAGTTTCTCCTTGAAAGTTCCTGAGCTCCCAAACCTCCGTGGTTCCCTCTGCCCACCTTCCTTCTATCCACGTCCCAAGCTACTAAGAGGATTAGTGCAGGTGTGAGCAGGGAGACAACAATTGCTGTGTGTGCAGGGAATTCAGAAGCGTTTTTGTTTGCCACCCCTGGCTGTCATGTAAAGGAGGCCAAGGGAATCAGCAGGCTCCTGTTTTCCTCTCCACTTGCAAATATGAAGTTCCCTGCTATGAGATTTCGTGAGTGCCAAATGCTTTGCCAAAGGTTTTCAGATGATCTGGCTGGAGAGCAAGAAGTGTCAGACATCTCATTGCAAACTGGGTTCCCAGCCCAGTTTTGTCCTCAGAAGTGATGCAAAGGACTTTGAGAGAAGCCCAACTGTGCAGTGATCTTCTCCTGCACTCCTGTTAGTACTTACAAAAAGCCTGAAGTCTGAAATATCCTGAAATTAATCCTACTTGGCTTTATACCTGTCTGGTCTGTCTGACATCCCTCACTTGAATACTATTCATATTCTATGCAACATATTGTTCCTTTTTCCTTCTGTGCTTGCACAAGAGAAATACAGATATAAAGAAAAGCAATTATTTTGCAAGTAAAACTAGAACCACCCAGGCTAAATCAGGCAGTTTTCTGGCATCATCTTAAAAAAGCAGGGCTCAAAGTACAACAGAGAAAAACGCAGCCTGCTCATGATGTGAGTGATCATCTGCTCTTCTCGCAGTTCTTTCATTCCTTATTCAGCTGCTTTGGAAACCTGAGGGGCAAACCTTTCCCTCCAGCCTCCCTTCAAGACCTGCAGATAAAATGAGCCAGAACTCTTGTTTTTCAGTATTAATTCTCACTAAGGCAGCACAGCCAGGCGTTGGGGAAAGGGCGGGTGTCTGGTCCCTGCCTGCCCCCAGCAAGTGATTCCCAGATGGAACAGCCAAGCCAGCCCCTTGCAGAGCTGATGGAAGGATTGCCCTCATTGGGATAGTGGACAGAACAGGCAAGAAACCTGCCTGCTCAGGCTCTTCTGACCCCCAGCACCAAGGCTGAGGATCTAGGATTTGTTCCAGACATTTGTCTGAGATTCACTGAGTGCCCTCTCCTTTGTTCCCCACAGTTTCTAAAACCATCCCCTGAACCTTTGAAAAGTGTAGGGAGAGATGGGGAGTTCAGCCAAGACAAGTGATCCATGGGTTGGGGCCCTAAAGACATTGGTTCAGTTGGTTTTTTTGTGTGGTTTTTTTTTTTAAAGGACAGTGTTTTCCAGACTATTCTTAAACCTCCTGTAGACAGTTTGTTTGTGACACCACACCAAAGGGCTGTTAAATCTTTTCCCTAGAACCACAAAGAAATCAACACTGGTCAGTTCACTTGAGAGGTTAAACTGGCCCAGAATATTTCAGTGTTTAAATTAAGCAAATAAAATGAGATTGTTCTCGTTCAGCCTTTCCAGCTGCAGCACAAAGGAGATGTGCTAGTGACAAGAGCTGAGAGTGTTTCTGCAAGAAGGTTTTCACCTCAATCACACCTGACACAAATCCATTATCCAGACTTGTTGCCACCACCAGCTGCAGGGTCAGACTCAAAATACCAAACACAATTTGTTATCCCAAAATACCAAACACAATTTGTATACCCAAAATAACAAAATCCCAAAATACCAAACACAATTTGTATACCCAAAATAACAAAATACCAAACACAATTTGTATACCCAAAATACCAAACACAATTTGTTATCCCAGGCCAGAGTAAGAGCATGAACTTTTTTGGGCAGCCCAGCTCCAGTTCCAGTCATGGATCTCTCACTCCTAGCACTGGGCAGACCTGGGGGAAACACAAGAGCTGCACCAGAGGGGAAAAAATTGTCTGCTGGGGAGGCAGCAGCAAGCAGAAACATTCTTTGCTCCCCATTTTTTTGGACAGAAAACAGGCAAAGAAGTGGGAATCAGCATCAGTGAGAACAAACACAGTAAAAACAGAGCAAGAGCTCAGTTCTTGATGTCCTGAGCATCGGCAGTGATTCCTTAGAGCAGTAAAAAGAAGAAAGTCACTCACCCTCACGAAGCTGGCGGGAAACCATCCTTCCTCATCGTCGATCTGACCCCACCACCAGTCCTTGTTGGAAGCATCCAGGACCTTGATGACGTCTCCTGCTTTAAACGCCAACTCCCGGTTGGCCATGGTGACGTGATCCCATACTGCCTCAGCACTGACAATGGAACCACCACTGATCAGCTTGGGGAGAGAAAAGCACAGTCAGGAATGCCCACAGGCCCAGCCCCACACATGCACAGCAGCACACGCAGCAGAGCTCGCAGCCAAACCACACTGCCATTCCCCCCTGCCGTTCCCACTGCCCTCATCCTGCTCCCAACCATGCCAGGCAAGCTCCAGGTGCCGTGTCCCATGTCCCCCAAGGCCTGGCACCTCCCCTGCCACCTCCATACGGGCACATCCATCAGGGATAAATCCCCTGACACAACGTGCAATTCCCAACAACAAGAGATGGTGTCCCTCAAAGGAATTTTCTCTTCAGTTGAAACGTCAGAGGCTTGGGGAAGCTTTCCATGCAGACCCAAGTAAAGTTAGTGCACGTATTTAGAAGGCTCTTTTTGAAACTGGAGGCTGCCTGTTTTAGTGCTGGTGATGTACTGACACCCCTCACTTGTGACACGCTGCTGACCTGCCCCAGCCCTGGCCTGGAGCACAGCCCAGCACTGTGGGGACAGTCTGCACGGAGCAGATCGTGGACCCTGGACACCCAATGAGGCCAGTCTGGTGTCTGACAGGACCTCGGAACATCTCTGCCTGTGGAGCTCAGAAGTGCACCAGCACAGCCCCGGTCTCCTCTGCGACAGCCATGAAACTCCTGCTCCCTGCTGGCAGGAGGGAGCATCCCAACACTGGTGGCTTCCACACCACCAGCCATCCATCCATGCCAGGACACCCCCTGCCCCTCTGACTGCCAGCTGTGTGTTTTTAACAGAGTAATAAATTGTGTTTATGTGTTGCCCACTGCAGGCATTCTGTGCTGAGCACTGAGGCTGCCTCAGCAAATACAGATTTTCTCCATGTGCTAATCAGCCTGTCAGAGCCATCCTGGGTTCATTAGTTCTGCCACTGAGACACCCTGACCATGGACTTGGGCTGCCTCCAAGTCCCAGTTTGAGCTCAGAGGGACAGAGCTCAACCCTGTAACCATTCCAGACCTTGTTGTGGCAAGGCTCTGAGAGCCACAGTGTCCCCTCAGCTCGGGGAGGAACACAAAGCACACAGACAATAACCCCTCGCTGGGGGTATGCAAGTGTAGAAGCCCTTAATGCAAGTCTGGCATCCCCAAACCGCTGTTAATCACTGCCTGCACAGTGAGAACTTGAAGGAGACCTTCCAGCACAGCTTCAGGTTCTCAGCATCAACAGAGAACACTGAAGTCATCCATACAATCCAGACAACAGATTAAAGGGCCTGATTTACCATTTTCCTTGGACTGGCTCTCCTTTACAAATCTGATCTCCTTGGGGTGGAAGCTAGAGCTGCAGTTCCAGCCAGTGGTAGAGTCAGTCACACAAAGCAGCAAGACCTACAAGGCTTAACCTGGCAGTGCCTTTCATCCTCAAAACCCAGGCAGATCCAGTCAGTGGGCAGCAAAGTAAAGCTGTGCTCCCCCCACTTCAACAAATTGTCCCTTCTAATTCAAAATCAGCTGTAGAAGAAACCTGTCCCCTTTGTGTGTCATACAGGGGATTGTCCAGACGAGCCTCACAAGGTCCTGGGACACCAGGCAGAAAACCAAGGCATGGAACAAGCCCTCAGGTGATGGCTGAACTCGTGGGCACCTCCTGCTTCAGTGAGGGGTCACCCCACAGCTGGGCTTTTGAGACACAGCTGGAGAGAGCTGGGCACCAGAGGGTCCCACCTGAACCAGCAGCAGCTGCAGTCAGATGGTGACAGACCCCCAGCTCGCCCCAAAGCTGGGCTCAGCAAGCAGGGCAGCCACATCTAGAGAAGTAGCAGTTACAGACTGATTTCTGATCCCAGGGCAACAGCTGGATGCTCAGAGGTGTTTCAGTGCCTCCTCACAACCCCTTGCTCTGCTCCCAGCTAGGGTTCCTGGATGCTCTCATAAATAAGGATCAGTTTAAAGCACAGAGACCCCAGGACAGATCTGGAAGGGATGAGACTTCAGAGCTGAAGAAACCCCACGATACATTTGAGACCAGGTACCATTTATCTGTTCTTCTGCCAGGACTGAGCTCTTCTCCCTCACCAGTGCTTCCCCTCTGCCATATTTATAGATGCTGTCCAGGTGTGGTTTCCCAGGTAAGGAAGTTCTGCCCTTCCACCCCCAGCTTTTCCTTCCCCCAGGCATTTCACCAGCCCTCTCAGGCTTCCGCATACCCTGCCTGCATTTTTCTGGAACACAGATGACCAGAATTGCAAATACAATTCCCAAAGGGACCTTAGCAAAGATTTGTGGAACAGCATGAAATATTTATTCCAGTGTCACAGAGATCTCCCAGTAACACCTCACATGTCCCCCATTCCCCACGGCCACCCCCCACCCGTGGCTCGCAGGGATCATGCATTCAGCTCCTCTCAGTAAATGCAGTAGAGTACGTTCTCTTTGGCTCAAAAATCAGTTTACTTGTCAAAAAATGAATCGGGTTGGCCTGACACTTGTTCCTTTGCTTAATGCCATTGGGTATTTTAGTCCCTTTTGCACTGATGAGAAACCAGGAACAGAGCTATTACGCAGGAGCCGTGTTCCTGCTGCTTCTGCTTCAGCTGACAGAGACTCTGCTGTCACTTCACACACAGCCAGTTCTGGGCACAAACTGCCACAGAAACGTCACTGAGCCCAAAATTCAGAGGGACTGTGCTTCAAACCCTCCCAGCCTACTTTGCAAAAATCCATTCCCGAGCCCGAGGCACAAATCCCAGCTCTGAGGAGCTGACAGGGACAGCAGAGGGACACAGAGGGACAGGGGGTCACACCTCAGTCTTTGTGTGCTGTTAGCACACAAATCTGCAAGGTGCTTTCAGGGCACGTCAGGAGCTGGGGTGGCTTTGCAAGGTGCTCCTTGATCTCAAGGAGAAAAGCTCCAAGTCCTTGGTTCTCACTGATCAGTGCCAGCAGGGGCTGGTCCTGCCCAGCCCCTGGCCCTTGCCCTCAGCTCAAGGAAGGGATCCACATGCCAGGAATCCTGCAAGCAAGCCTTGCCCTTTTGGAACACAAATCCAGCTCAGCCTGCAGCAAAAGGACGGCGAGAACTGGAGCTCCAGCCATCCCACGTGCTGAGCCCATTGAGAGAATGTCAGGGCCCAAAATGAAAAGATCCACTTTAATTTATCTTGCAGAACATCTTGCTGCATCTGTGGAGCCGTCCAGCTCTCTCAGGGCAGGGTTATGGAGACAGAACCTGACATCTGCAGCAGCCGGAGATGACAAACTGGAGAAAGGTCAGCATGAAATATTATTTCTCAGAGAATTCAACACAGGAGCTCTTCACTCCAGAAAGTTCACGTCTCTCAGCTTCACAGCTGGGCTCTGTGGTCAGAGATATTCAGCCAAAGACCTTGGAAATAACTTCTCTGCCATGAAGTCAGATTCTCCCACACTGCAGCTGAGGGAGTCATCTGGACTCCCTGATAGCCAGTGAAGAGAAAGAGACACATCTGGAGTGTGATTCATCCCAGCTATTTCAGCCATCTACCTTCCAGCCAGGTGAATCATGCCCTCAAATTGACTCTGTGTTTAACTGGCTGATGCAGAAGTTTACATTTCCCACATCTTAACATTCATCCCATCTACAATTTGGCCATTACCAAAAGCAAAGGACAGGATAATAATCTCTATAAGAATAGTGAAATATTAAAGCACACTCTCGCAGACACAGCAGTTTTCTGTAGGGTGAAGGTTGGTGGAAATAAAGTTACGTTCTCTGTGCCCACCAGAGGAATTCACAAAATCTTAAGCCTTGTAAATTCACAAAAATTAGAACCTAGATATTTGGGAAAGTGTCCTACCCATAGGAAAAGAGAAGCAGCGAGAAGAAATGCAGCAGGTGACAAGGACATTCAGTGTGACATCCCCTGAACACTGCCTGTCTGCCAGGTGCAAGTCCTACTTCCTACTAAAATCAATTATTCTTGTCAGTTGTAAAGAGCTCAAAGAGAAAATTCCTCAATGCTTTCACCTCTTAACATCAGTGCAGAAATGCCCAGGAGCATTTGGGAACTACAGACCTGAGAATAATGATTCCTGCTTTACAGGAGCCTGCAGAGCACTTTCTGGGGTGGAGGAAAAACTTTCTCAGTGGGCAGAAGAGAAAAGTAACTCTTGGGATGTTGTGAGGGCTGGGCACCAGGCACTGGTCCAACAAACACCATCAAAGGGAAATTCCAGGGCACAGAGAGGAGAGGCCACTTCCACATCCCAGCACCACAAAGAAATGAATTGAATGAGGAAAAGAAAAAGGGCAGAAAGACAAGACTCTCTCTAACTCCATGCACAGCTTAAGCACATTAAGAACAGGGTGTATGATCCCTGAACCACCAGGACCACACCCTCAGCCTCCCCAGGGATTTTCCCCACAGGTTTCCGAGCAAACCTCCAAGAACTCAGTCACAAACTCTCCCTCTAGAGATGCTCCTTCAAGACACTCCCAGCACCCCAGCACAGCAGGTGAGTCTTTACACCAGCGAGCAAAGCCAGAGGAAAGGAATGAAACCATTCCTGCTGAAGGGCTGGGAGGATTTTGCTTTCTCTTCCCGTCTGGTGGCATTTCCAGGATGGAACGTGGCCACTGGAAATACAGAATTACTTTCGAGGTGCTGCCAAAATAAAATGACAACAGTAAAAATGACAACAAACAGTAAAAAAAAGGGTTTCAGGGGACCCTGCAAGGCCCCACCTCTGACAGCACATACCAGGGATGCTGAACTCTGTCCTCAGGTGTGCTGGGAAAGCTCAGAAAGGTCCATCTGGCCAAAGATCCCCACTATCTCCCTCTCCCTTTGCACTTCCCAAAGGCAAAGGGCTTAAAGGTGTCATTAATGCCCCATGGGAGCTTCCAAGGAATAAAAAGGAGGTGCTCAAAAGTGGGAGTTTGACTCCAGATTTTATAACTTTATTTTCCGGCCATGCCTTTGTGGCACCTTTATCAAGGCCAAATAAATGTCCCCATCAAAGTAAACAGGAAAAGAAAGAATAAAAGGATTAACAGGAACAGCTC